GGTGTCTTAATTTTCACCCAAATATATGATGTCATCTTTCAACTCTCCTAATTCCTGTGACAGTTATATGTTGTTTGTTAGTTTTCTGTGTATTTCAACTTTTCCCCTGTGTTGTATAGCAACTACTCTCTCTTCCTTTTATGCTGACTGCTTTTATTTAACTAAGCAGAAAACTGATATATATTGAACATCAGTTGTATACTGATAATATACAACTAATTTGTATTACAAAATTTTGTATTACAACATAATTTTTTTTGGTGTGAGGTAGGGTCTCAGTATGTATTCCAGGCTGGCCTTGAACTCATTATGTAGCCCAGGGTGACCTTGAATTTGCAGCAATCCTCCTGATCTTGAGTGCTGGGATCACAGGGTTGTGCCGCCTTACCCAACCTACATCTTGTAAATTGTTAGGCTGCACCTGTAATTTTGTATCTGACCCACCTGAGATTTCTTCAGGGTAACATCCCATTGTCTGTGGTATAGAGATATGATACCACACCTTCCAAATGGTATGGGAAATAGTATAACTCCTAATATGTTAAATGTCTCATGCACAGAGTTTATGTTCTCTAAAATTAAAGAATGAATTCTAGGAACAACAAAAGTTAAGAGTAGGAAACTTTATACAAAGGATGTAAAGCAAGGGAAGCAAAGGGATACAAAGCTCCTGCCTAAGAGAAACAGGAGGGGACACCCATAAAATGGGTTGACCAGCACCCCACTTTTCAGGGGAAGTTCTATAGAGCACAACCATGTAGGTACAATGTGGGTTACAGTTATGATCAACCAGTAAGATTATAAGTGTAGATATTTAGTTAACATTGATCCAGTGGGGAATCAAGTTATGTCATATATGTGCAGGGAAAGAACAAAGATCTTCTCAGGAAGGTGATGGATCTGGGGGTCTTAGTTGCTCACTGAGGTAACTAGTGCGTATCTAAACTTTATCAGAACAGGTATCTCATTCTGTTGGGAGTACACAGGCCTGGCCCTTTTGTTGCTATCTTGAGGCCTGGCCTCCAACTAAAGTATCTGCAGCCACAGTTGTAATGTGTTTTCACATTTAAAATTTTAAAAAAATTTATGGAAAAAATAAAATAAGATTTCAAAATAAAATAACAGGAGAATAACAATAGTTAATTCATCATATATTGTTATCTTTAAAGTAATTATTTGGAGAGCAAAATATAGTCTTGAAAAATTGTCCAAATGATATGAGCATAAATTTTTCTTTTCAATGAAGTAAGAGAAGCTAGTAGTATGACTATCTTTTTTTAAAAAAACATTTTTTATTAGGAGGGTACATTTTTCATAATCAAGGAAACAATATTGGTACATTATTAACTAAAGTACGTCCATTATTCATATTTTCTTGAATCTCTATCTGATGCACATTTTTTGCTTCAGGACCATATGAAGACACCCTCTTGTATCTAATTCCTCTTATTTTCTTAGGATCTTTGTGGCTGGGGTAGTTTCCCAGACTTTATTTTTGATGAACCTCTTAGTTTAGGAAAGTGCTGGTCAGATGGTGTTTTATAGGGTGTCTCTCAATTGGAACTCATCTGATGATTTACTCATTTTTAGACTACAGTGCTGGGTTTTGGGGAGGAAATACATAGAGGTAAAAAGCAGTTTTTATCCAATATGGCTTATTGGTTTTGACATTCACTTTGACCACTTGGCTAAGTTAGTTCTTTTCTTCCTTTCCATTTTGTACTCTGGACGGAAGCTAATGTGTGTGGCTCACACTTAAGGAGAAAGGACTGCTATGGCATTTTATGCAGGGTGCAGAAGTCTTCTGTATAAGAGATTCTCTATTTACTTAATTGATTTACTAATATCAGTACAGACTCATGGATATCCATTTTATATTTTGGGTTATAATCAAATAGTGTTCTTTTTGTTCATAGTGTTTTAGCTTTGGCCTTTGGCTTTTTCAGTTGATTCCTGTTTTCCTAGGACATCCCCCATCTTTGTGTTGTTAAATAAATGTTTTTGTTGGGGGGTGGGAAGGGGGCTTTTACTTACTTTCAGACCCAACAAGATGCTCCAGGTTCTCATTAAATGTTTCCTGTACCAGAATTAGCTGTTTCCCTACAAAGCTCTCTGTCTCTGTCTCTCTCTGTCTCTGTCTCTCTCTGTCTCTCTCTCCCTCCCTCTCTTCCTCTCAGAACAGTATTAAAAACACACAAGACCTGAGTTATAGGTGTGTTGTTACAAAAATGTTGTATCCAGGGCCATTCAGGTGATAGAGTGAGGAAGCTCATGTAGTAACACGTATTTCTACACATATCTATAGATTTTTAAAATAGATCCATCTCTATAGGGATGTTAGGTCAAGCATGAGTTCCTATGAAGTTTTCAGTTTTATCTCAGTATTACCTGTTCTCTCCATCCTCCTCCTTTGGTGTGGCCTCTTCCAACAAGAAAAACCTGGTGGCCACCGTGCATTGGGTTGTTGTTCATGTCCAGTATACATATGTAATATATACAGGTTTAATAATGCAGTTGTCTCTTTTCTCCAGCATTTGATCCTTACACGTCTGACATCCATCCCTTCCCTTTGCTTGCAGCCGTAACCTGCATTTTGTAAGACATGTGCAGGTTCCTCATGCATCTTCCCTGAAAGCCTATTTGCTCACTTTTTCATGGCAGACTTTCTTTTTTTAATATTAATTTTACTGAGAAAGAAATAGCATTTAGACAGTTTCAAAACAGGTTATTATGACAGTTACAATAATTATTACATTGCATACTGTTGTCTTTGCAGTAGCTATTCATAGTACAAGATGCAGATATGATATCTTGTCTAAACACTGTTACTACAAATCTTTCTTCTCATGGAACTAAGAGAAAGTATCTGTATATCTTAACATATATATATATATATATATATATATATATATATATATAAACAAAATGGTCCTTCATTTACATCCCCCTTTTTTGTTTACTTTTTCAGAGATGGGTATTGCATTGCCATTCAAATATTGTAGGTGTGTGAGGGTTGGAGAGATAACTCAGTGGCTTAAGTGCCTGCCTGGCAAGCACAAGGTCCTGAGTTCAATCCCCAGTACCAAAACAAAACAAAACAAAACCAAACAAACCAACAACAACAACAACAACAACAAAAGTTTTGGACTCTTTTAGAATATTTTGCTGAGTTTACATACCTGTAATATTCAAATAACAGAACTTAACAAAAAAAGGGGATACAGGTGAATGTCCATTTTGTATCTGTGTATTCAAAGTGGTTAGGATAGATATATAGTTACATTCTCTTAATGAATAGGGGATTTGTTCTAATGGTGTTTGTAAATAGGATATCATGTCTGCATCTTGTACAGCAATTAACCACTAGGAAGAATGTATGCAATGTGTTAATTATTGAAACTGTCCTACAAATTTGGTTTGAAACTGTCTCATTGCTATTTGTTTCTCAATAAAATTATGGAAAAAAACCCACAAAACAAATATTGCAGGTGTGTGAATTCAGCAAAGTAATCCAAAATCCTGAGGGGATTACTGGCCTTGTCAGATCAACAAGTTACAGTTTTTGTTATATAGGTCTTGCTTTATCTTATATAGGTCCAGCAGAAAAGTATAAAAACTAGATATAAAAAGTAAAACCATATAATATGCTGATCTGTAAAAGGCTCAAGTCAACAACTTATGACATTGCCAATCCTATGGACAACCCACTAAAATTCCCTGGACTTTCAAGCTGGGTGAGAAGAGCCAAGGAGGAAGATGAGGTCAGGCTGGTGGAGACTGGGCAGATGGGGTTTTCAGGGTCTCCATTTACACATGAGAACCTTGTGGCTTTGACCCTGCAGTGGACCTGTCTCTATGAATTATGCACATTCAGCAGCCAGCCCTGCTGAGGATGTGCTGGCCCAGCATGAGAGTCCCCAGCCACAAGCAGCAGGAATAGGAACGCAGTGGCCCCTCCGAGAATTCTCCCTCTGTAGGCACCAGAGCCCTGGCAGGAGATGACACGCCAGGCTAGGAGTGTCTGCCCGTGGATTGCTGGAAGCTTTCCTGCTCCTCCCAGGCTTGCAGCAGCTGCTTTCACAGAGCCCCAGGCTGCCATAGTATAACTATCTTGAATATCTTGTCTTTCTTTTGCTTGCTCTGTCTCTCTCTCTTTGTCTCTTTCTGTGTCTCTCTCTGTATCTCTTTCTTTCTCTTTCTCTTTCTCTGTCTCTGTCTCTCTCTCTCTCTGTCTCTCTGTCTCTCTCTCTCTCTCTCTCTCTCTCTCTCTCTCTCTCTCTCTCATCTATCTATTGGTACTGGGAACTGAACTTAGGACTTTGTGCTTGCCAGGTAGACATTGTGCCACTGAGATATATCCCCATCTGATTCTATATATTTGTTCAAATATTATATTTTTATAGTTACTCTAAAAATTTGGTGGCAGCCTAAGATGAATTTAAATTTCTGTTAAGGTGACTTCCTCTGAAATATCATATATTTTATAATTTTTTTGGTCTTTATTTTTTTTTGTCTTTTTTAGACAGGGTTTCATTATGCAGCCAAGGCTAGACTCAAACTTGTGTAGATCCACCCATTTTGGCCTGCCAAGTGCTAGGATTACATGAGTGGGCCAGCAAGCCTGGCCCATCATATATTTTAGAAAATATTTAGGGTAATATTTTTATTTTTTATTTTTTAATTTTTGGCAGAACCGGGGTTCAAACTCAAGCCCTTGCACTTGCCAGAGGATAATATTTTAAAGTATGAAACTAACAATATAAATTAATTTTATCACAGGCTCATATATTTTAGTAACTTGATTTTGAACCAGAAGGAACTGACACAGAGAGAAAATACTTTCTTTTATAGGACATTATAAATTTCTAAAAGGTTGCTTGTTTAGCTCTCACATATTTCATTTAAAAAATGGGCAGTTGAGTTCTAGTTATGAGAAGCTTCTATTTTAGTATGGTATCAGACAGTGGCATTTTTGCTCAGATATCAAAGGTGTCTTCAGTGTTGTGGTAACTGAGTTACATTTTCAAGTCATTAAGTACATCTTGCTTTGTGATTATGGTCCATGCATCAGGGATCTCACCTTTATTTTTAAATTTTTTCTCGTATTTTTCTTCTAATGCTAATTTGAAGTGAAAGACAAACCATTTCCAATATGGCTGGGAGGATGAATCTGGGGTGATGCTCCAAGAGGCATAATCCCCTCCTGCCTGCCGGTAGGTCTTGAATGGGATTTTCAGGGTGTCATTCAGAACAAACAGAGTGTCACTTGCCACTGCAGTGGAACAACGGTCAATGGAGAACTCATCTGTTTTATACCAACATCCTCCACTGACAGCCTGAGGACGGTGGAAGAGAACACTGTGGTCTCCTTCATGTGTAGGAATGGTGTTGGTACAAATTGACTTACAGAAGGGACATTGTTTCCAGCAGCCAGAGAATTGTTCAGAGAGAATTTTCTCAATTATAGGAACCATTTCATCTATAGGTGTACTTAAAATTTTTTCTTCTATTTTTGTCATTGCAGCATCCAATGCTTCACTCATGGCTTTGTTGAGAAACTCCATGTCTTTTATCTCATGGTGTTCAATGCTTTGCAAGTCTGTTCGTGGAAACATCAAATTCTCTCCCAGGTGATCACAAAACAAATCCAACCACTCTGATGCAGTGCTGCTTTTATCTTTAGCTTCTGCTATGGACTCATGAGTAGCAGAGAGGATGGCAGTCTTGATGGCATCTAAACTTATTTTTAAAACAGTCTGTATTTTTTCACTGCCATTTTCTGAACAGTAGTTTTTAATATAATTTTCAGTGTAACTCCTGAAGAAGGATTCTGGATTATGAATGTATTGCCAATAATTATCAAAGTTTTCTTCCTCTGCCAGAGAAATGAGGATATGTTTTTCCAGCTGGGCCCTATTTCCATTGAATGCAGGGCAGGTAGCCTGCATGTCCCCAGCAATTTTAGGGGCCATATTTTCCCATACAGTGGTAGATAGAGCAGGTATGAGCTTGCTCCACAGAAAATCTACAAATGATTTGATAGAGGTTTCTCTTTGGCAGGAGAGCTTGAAACTTGTGAAGAAATCTTCTTTTTTACTTTCCAGGGAGATTATAGGATCATTTGATTTCTTGAATGTCCTGTGCATTTCATTAAAACTTTTTGATGCTCTCTCAAATAAACACAAAGATAAGTCAATGTTATATTTGCTTGTAAATGAGTACTTTTTGTTCATAGGTGCAGATGAAACTTCTTCTTCTATTATTCTCAGAATTTCATAAAAGTCATTTACATTGTAATCATGATTTTGCTTCCAAATATTAGTAATAGTTTCATCAAATCTTGAAAAAATGCGGTTAGTAGTCACACAAATTAACTCTTTATCACCTGATTCTAATTGATTTGTGAATAATCCACTCATTTTGACATGCTTATCATAATTGAGTTCAAATTGCTTTCCAGAATTTCTCTTTAGTTTGTTGGCCAAATTTTTCTCCATTTTGAAATGCTCCAAAAGGATGTTTTTAGAATCCATCTCAATATCAGGTTCTGTTGCTGGAGGAAGGTTGGAGGACACATCACAGACCCATTTACTCCAAAGTTGATTGAATTGCTTCTGTAACTCCTCTTCACTCAATTCCTTACCTTTTAGAATTAAAGCCATTTCTTGGCTCCTCTTCAATATTTCATTTTTATAGGTTGTCCTTTTCTCATTCAACATTTCTTCACTTTTCTTAAGAGCAATATATTTATTGGCTTCTTTTTTGGCATCTGATATAAGTTTCTCTTTAAAGATTAGTAACTTATTTTCAACATTTCGTTTCCACTGAGTCAGTATTTTACTCTCTGGGCCTTCATTAAAATATTTTTCAAAATCTTCCTTAATAGTTTCATATTCTTTTGTAATAGGATCTTCAAGTGAGCTTCTTTGGAGTGTCTTCACTTTTCCATTCTGAATCTGATTGTTCAGCTGATTCTGAAAGTGTAGCACATGACTCCTCAGCTTCCAGGACCACTGCTTATACATGGTTTCCAGTTTGCTCATGGCCATGACCTCTCGGGTATTTCTGAAGCTGAAAATAAAGTTCTCACTGACCAGAGCTCTCCACAAATCTTCCACTCGGTATTTCATATCTGAAATCTTCAGGATATTTACCTTAGATTCCTGTTTAGCCACTGAAAGGATTCTACTTTTTAGTTTTTGGACATTGTGACTATAGAGAAGATTAGGAGGAGCCATTGGGGGATTGCCATCCCACAGGTGAGCAAAGTAGTAAACATCAGTATTGATATCAAACTTAGTGACATCACTAAAGCATGATACATTTGAACACTGTTCTTGCTCAGCAGCCATTGCTGCCATCTCATCTAGTTTCTGCTGTAGCTGCCTTCGTCCTTCCATGGTTTTCTCTTTATCTGTAGCTTCCCTCACATTCTGATGGACAAAGAGGCAACTTGGGGAGATTTTCACTTGTTTCATCCTCAGAAAAGCTTGGACAGCTATTTGTAGAATATCTTGCATCTCTGATGGATTCTCTCCAAAAATATTGATCAGGATCAAGTTTCCAAGTCCAAAAACAAAGGTTGTCAACTCATCTCTGCTCTGGGATTTGGTCTTGAATTCTGGGGTCCTAAGTCCTTTTGTGTCGACCACCAACAGAAAATCAATTCCAAGTTCCTCTGTGAAGGTCTCTTCCACCTTCAGGAGCTGCATGTAGGCCCCCTTGGTGCACCTACCTGCACTGACACTGAACTGCAGTCCAAAAAGGGTGTTCAGTAGAGTGGACTTCCCTGAATTCTGTAGGCCAAGAATAGAAAGAACAAATAGTCTCTTGCCTGGAAGCTTCTCAGAGACCTTGTCAAATACTGCTGCTATCCATTTTAGAGGCACATAGGATGCATCCCCATCCATCAGCTCAATGGGCATGCCAGATAGCATCAGATCTGCAGCAATTTGGGGAAGAGAGAGAAAAACAATATCTCTTTTGGAGGAGGTTTCATCTAGTGCCTCATATATTTGCCCAATTTCTCGCAGAAGCTGTTCAATTCCCAAGGTACAGTCACTGATTTCTGTGGAGATAGCTTCCAGTTTATTTTGCCAGAGGTCCAGGGAGTTGCTCTTCTGTGCCTTTTGCTTTTCTGTTTGTGTCTTTGACCACAAAGATCTTTGTTTCTCATGCAGATTTTCCAAGTGTCCTTCAGTAAGACTGTCCAGAAACACACTCAGCCACTGCAAAAAGTAGAGTTTGATATGAGTTTCTGAGTGTTGTTGTAAAAATAGTAAGAAAGATCGCATTAAGTCATTGAGAGGAAAGGCTTTTACCACTTGTTTATCCCTTATTATTTGTTTTGCTGTCTCAATCTGACTTTTGTGTTGCTCAATACTTCTGTTCCTCTTCTGTCTCAGATGATAGAGTTCTCTGTCCTTTTTACACCAAAGATGCCAAAGTTCCCCCTGCAGGGGTAGTAAATTTTCCTTCAGGTGAGATAAATTCATTTCCCTCAGGAGGGCCATTATAATCTCTGCCTTTTCTTTGGCTTCCTTGCACTCTCTCTGGTCTTCATCAACCAGGAATCCTTGTTTGCGAGCAATGTGGGAACAGTCTTCTATGCTGAGAGTATGGTCAGAGAGCTCTAGCAGATGTCGGATTGCAATGGTGATTTCTTCCATTAACTCTGCCTTATTTCTATTCCTTAGGCCAATTTTTATTCTTCTACCAGAATTATTGACTATATTTTTATCTTTGTCAGTAAGCAAACAGATCATAGGTGACTTTGATGACTGCCACAGGTCACAGACAATTTTTCTGTTTTCTCCATTGTCATCAGAGGCTGACATGAGGATCACAATGAGAGAAGAGACCTCCTGCAAAAAAGCAAGCTGCTGCTTGTGTTTCTTTGTATCACCATGAAGATTGGTGAAGGTCACACAGTTGTCAAATCTGTCTTCATGTTCTTCCCCAGGATAGAACCAGTAGAATTCCACTACACCCTCCATCAAAAGACAGTCTTTGCTGCTTCCCTTGCAGTGTCGGTGGAAAAACACATCATGTTTATTTTTACTGAGAAGGCAGTTTATGATCTGAGATTTGGAAGCAGAAAGGCCATTTCCAACTCTAATGAAGGACACAATGGAGGTGGGCACACAACACATCTGCTGGTTATGAAAACGGTACCTTCCTTGTGATTTACTTGAATGCTGCCAACTCCTCTTAATTTGTCTGAGACACCAGAGAGAGAATTCAATTTGCGAAGTACAAGGGTTAGGTACCAAAAGTGGTAGGGCAAATTGGCAAATAGAAAGTTTTCCCAAAATATATTGTCTGGCAAAGTCATCTGCACAATGAAAAATTGCCATCTGAATATCCATTGGGTGAATATGAGGCCTAGGGTTAGTGGTAACAGGACTATTACCATCACCAAAAGAGTCTTCATATGGATCAGAATCTTCATTTTCCTCATCAGAGGCACTTGTGTAAAGCTGATGTTCTAGCTGTTCTTGTTCTCTGAAGACCAGATACCTGAACCCATAATCAAGCATCTGTAGCTTCTGTAGGAAATAGAATGGAAGCTCCCGCTCTGATCTGGGCTGGATTCTGTAGACAGAAGTCTTGTAGATCAGATGAAAATTAACTTTGCCCATCTTTTTTGGGAAGTAATGTTTTAGGTCTAAACGTTGGAGTAAATCTTGGAAACCTCTATTTTCTATCATGTCCTTTTTAGCATTGTCTTTATTATGTAGTTTCCTCTTCACTGCTTCTTCATGACTCTGCCTTTTTTCTAAAAACAGATACTGTAGATCTTGAAGTTTGTCATCATTTTCATTTATCATCTCCACTGGTGACTCCTGTAACTTGGGGTGAGTATTTGAGTGTGACAGACCCATCAACTTTTCCAGGGCTGTTTCTTCCCATGGATACTGCACCTGGGATTTCAGAATCTGGAAGTCTTTCTCTTGTAAGTCTTGTAAGGTCTGTGTACAAGTCACTCCCAGTTGTTCCTTCAATTTGGGCAACCAAAAGCCAGTTTCCAGTCCCATATTTTTCATAGTCTCTTGGAGATCTTGCTGCATTTTCTGTTCAAGGAGCTGTGTGTCAGTGTTGTCTGCAGTGGCCATGGCTGTGTGGAAAACAGACACCCAGTTACCTTTATGTTTTCTGACAGGAAATCTCAGTCAGACCTTTATATCTTATCACTTAGATTTTCCAAATTTTTGTTAAGGTTTTTCTATGTGTGTTTATGATATTTATGTAGAAGACATTGTTGATGTTTCAAACATGGGTTGGTTTATGATACTGGATGAGTTTCAACTTAGTATCCTCATTTTTTGAACTTGGTCTTAGAATCAATTACATGAAAATCATTAAATTATGGGATACAATTTGAAAATGTGTATGAGTTTCACAGCTTTTTAGCTTTGATTTTTTGTTTTTTGTAACAGGGATCAAACTCAGGACCTTGTACTTGCCAGGCAGACATGCCACTGAGCTATATCCCTGGCCCAAGTTTCACAGCTTTTTAAAACAACATGACAACATTGTTCAATTACATTTCCTCTTAGTTTCTGCTGTATCAGAAAACTGTATCAACTGATTTCATTTCTAGCTCTCTGTTTCTCTTTTTCGTTGTACTTGTTTACTGTACATATTATTACATTCATCATTGTGAATTGTTCCATGTATAGAACTCATATTATTTTACTTTACTTCCTGTTCCACCCCTTACTTCTCTTGAACTTTTTTTTAAAGGTTTATCTGCCCCTACCATTTTTCCTTTAGTTTTTTCTCTCACAAAATTTTATTAGATTATTATAATAAGCATCACATCTGCATCTGGGTTGAGTGTTTATTTCCTGTAAAACTCACATTGCAAATCAAGTGTCATATGACAGTTTTGAGGGATTCAGCATTTCAGAGGTGATTAACAATGAAGAATGCTCTAATTATTGGGATTAATGCTATTATGAAAGTGTTAATTCAGTCCCCTTTTGCCTCTTTACACATCTGGCCTCTGTATGTGGAGATGTAGCAAGAGATCTCTAGTAGAATGCCTGTACTTCCCAGTCTCCAGAGCAGTTAGCCAATAAATGTAAGATCACTGTAAATCACACATTTTTAATATTCTATTATAGCAATACAAAATGGATTGGGACAAAAATGGAAACAAAAACAAGATATTACTATAGCAATAAATCAAAACTATGGAAGCAGGATTGTAATGAGATGATAGATTGATGCTGAAAGAAATTGGAAAATAAATGTAGTAAGAATGTAAAGTTCTACAAATAGAGCATGAATAGCAAGTCTTATGAAGGCTGAGATGAAGAGAAGAACTATAGTTAAAGTCTGAATATATCTAGATATATTTTCTATACTATAACTTGGTCATGGTAAGAATATTGTTAAAATATAATGATGGTAAAAGAATTCTGTGAAGTCTCAGAAATGAATGAGTTGTTGGAAGCCAAGTTTATCTTTCTTACAAAGAAGCAATGAACTTAAATGAATAGTATCTTCCCTGAGGGGTATATAAAAGGAAGAATTTAAGCATGATAAACTAGTGTATTTAACAGAAGAAATCTCAAAGTTGGAAAGGACTTAGTGAACTGCATGCTTTCTCTCAACTGTATAAACATAATAAAATGAAAAAAATAATTTAAAAATGAAATTTATAAATACAGAATCAGAATTTAATGATTTGGAACTATACTATTCTGATTATATGGTATATATGTGAAAAAAGTTAGTGTTGGAAAGATAGGCAAGCATGTGGCCAAAGGAGCATTTGATAAAGACATTAGTATGGCTGGCAGGAAGCCAAATGTTATTAATTAAGATAGTGGGAAAATAACCCAAAGGCATTTCAGAAAAGTTTCAGGCTTCCACTTCCATTTGGAACCAGAATGGTGGGTTCTGCGGGGGGGGGGGGGGCTCAGAAGTTGCCAGAGAGCAATTCAGCAGTTCAAAGAACTCTAGAATTTTCTCAGCTACCTAAGATCTCATATTCTGTTGCAGAATCTCCCATATCCTGATTCTGTCATCTGTGTCTCAAGTTGTCCCTGTGTTTGGTGCTGATCACTGTGGAAAGCAAGTCATAAACTTTTTTCCTATCCACAAAGTGCTAATTCTCCATACACACACATATTTTGATGTAGAGCTTCTTCCTCCTAGATTTGTAAGAATGCTGCAGAGAAGGCCACAGGGACAGCTACCATAGAGAGGGTCTCCATTTTTAAAAATAAATTCTTAGGCAGATTACCCTCACAGTTCCCTTACTAATGACACCACTGTATAATGCCAGCATGGGAGCTTCAGGGAGGAGACTACAGCTGGTAGGAGTGGCTATGGGGCCTGACCCCAGCAAAACCATAGGAGCAGGGCTTCTCGAGTCTTGGAGATGCTAAGCTTAACCCAGTATGTAGAGGATTTGGGACACTGATTTGTCAGAGATCTAGACAGGATTTAGTGTTGATTAAATAATGCTGTCCAACAGGACTTTGCCTCCTTTCAAATGGAAAAATCTTCACAATTGCATTTTGTAACTAAATTAACACATTTGATTTTACTAACTCACAGATGAAAACTTTGCCACAGGATATATTGGACCTTACACTTCCATTTCTGGTTGGGACCAAAATGAAATTTGGTGTTTTGAATTGATTCTGGAATAAATTGTGTTTTGGAGCAATTAGATTAGAATGAGTGTATTTTGTATGTGAGATAGAACAGGAGTTTTTTTTTTTCTTAATCATTTTGGGGATCATGTTTTACTTTAAATGTTTTTCTTCTCTAGATCTCATGTTGGAATTCAAATGACATTTTAATAGCTTTAAAATGTAGGTCCTTTAAAAAATTAAGAAATTGAAAAGGCAGGACCTTTGAGAGGTGATTAATTCATGAAGATTATGCCCTTACTATATGATTAACCCCATCATAAAAGAGGGAAATTAGTCCATTTTGCATTTCTCTCATTTATGTGATAACTTAGTGAGAAAGCCCTTCTCTGGCACCAGAGTAGTATTTTGGTCTTCCCAGCTTCCAGTTGTATGAGCTAAAAGTTTCTGTTTCTTTAAATTACCTGTTCTTGAATATCCTGTTATAGCCATCCATAATAGGTGAAAACAGCATCTTACATTTATTTTTGTCTTGTTGTTTCTATCTTTCATAGTGTCATTAAAATTTGAATCTAGAAATTAATATGAATGAGTCAAGGATGCATGTTGCAAATTTTAATGTAACATCTAAAAGCAATAGTAAAATAATATAATTTCTAATCTAACACAGGTAAATAAAAGGTTGAATATCTGACTATGCTGCTATCAAGCTACTGTAGTCTGTGTTATTCTCTAACAAAATACCCAAGAATGAGTGATCTATAAATAATAGAACACCAATTTTCATATTTATGGAGGCTGAGGATACACAAGCAAGGCTTAAAAAGTTCAGTGCTTTGTGAGTACTGTACTTGGTCTCTACTTGCTGCTTTCTCACATGGTAGAAGGCACAAACCTTCCATTATTTCAAACAGAAAAAAGTGTCTAACTTGTTCCATATCAACTTTTTTTTTCATTTATGTGTTTGGCACAGGGTCTCACTACGCAGCTTGGACTTATGGTGATCCTCCTGTTTTCAGCCTCCCCAGCACTGGGATTACAGGTGTGTGTCACCACACCTGGACTCAGACCGGCATGGCATGTGGGACAGGGGATTGAACCCTGGTCCCTGCACTTGCCAAAGCAGGCACTGAGCTGTCTTGCTGACCCTTCCATGTTGGTTTTTTGTAAAGCACTGGTGCATTTCATCAAAGAGGTACTCACATTACTGAATTCCTTTCCAACAGGCTCCAGCTATTCATATCACAGCAAATGAATATTGGGAGATATTTGCAGAAATTTATCAATATTTGTAAGGTACAGTGGAATCAGTAGTCAGTGAGGTTATAGCATTAAACATGAGTTAAAAAGAAGAATGATCAGGAAATACTTTTCTACAGTGACACCTTAAAAATTATAGAGAAACAAATCCCCCCCAAAAGGGAAAGAATAAAAATTAAGCTAGAAAGCAAAAGTGGAACACAAAATGTAAAAAAAATCAGTGATACCAAAATCTATTTCTTTGAAAATATTTTCTAAAAAGAAGATAACACAGGCTAAGAAAAAAAAGAAGGCCGAATTCTAATATCAGAATAGTGATGAGACCACTACTGCTAAATCTAGACATTAAAATGGTAAGAAAGGAGGACTAGTCTTCCAGGATGAGGTGCTTGGAACTCTTGGTAACTAGCTTTGCCAGAGGAATCCAGTGCCAGTCCTATCAGGCTATATGAAGGAAAGGACCTGAATTGGAACTGGGTAGAGGAACAGAGAGTAAATCCACTCTAACAATGGGAAACACTTTGCATACAAACTCAAAATTTCTGATCTGTTTTAATATATAACCATAGTTCTTCCTTCTGTGGCCTAAAGGAGAAAACCATTAGTTACCAAAGTTTGTTAATCTCTAAATTCTGTACTGAAGCTAGGATGTCATATCTGTCTTAACTACTTGTCCTCCTTGGGGTAATAATTTTGGAAAGCACAGGATTAGTAACCTCACAAAAGCCATACACTGAAATTGGAGGACAATGCCAAGTGAAAACCAACATTCTACTCTCAATTAATTGAGAAGGCAGGATGATCTCAGGACAGACACAAGCTAGGAATCTGATACACAGAAGATATTCCTGAAGAACAGATTCTTCCTACTGTGGCTCTAATAGTGTGATATAGCTACCTACTATCCAAGTTTCTCAAGAATTATCACAGAAATAAAAATAAAGAGTACTTTCTGACATGGAAAATGATAATGCAAAGGACCTAAATGCAATCTAAAGCCCCCAGTCCAACCAGAACAAATCCAGGAAATATCAGAATATAAAATTGGAAGTCACACACCTGAATCTCTGAAAAGATTGCAACTGAAGTAAAGAAAGAACTACAGGGCTGGCTAGATAGCTCAGCAGACTGCAGCACCTGCTTAGACAGAGCACAGTGGCTGGTGTTCAATCCTTAGCATGCTGTGCTGGTCCTGCTCCCAGGGCATGCAGAGACGGTGACTGAGACTGAGCATGGTGGTATGC